TGCCTTACTAGATCCACACCATTGGCTCTTCTATTTTATTTATTTTTTCTTCAATCTAACCAAAAAACACAGTGCTCACACCAAGACACACAGAACAAGCTCAGGCAAAAGCTCAGGCTCAGGAAATTACTCAAACCAGTGATCAGCAGATTGATGCAGGATGCTCCATCTTCTCAACTGCAACAGTTAAACAGTCCTTAAGAGAGAAAGAGAGAGAGAACAAGCATAACATCTGCAGGTACTCACCAAAGCAAATGGAAATCTGGAAAACCTTCTCTGTTCTAATGAATGATGATACCTTCTATATTAGAAAGACATAAGATAAATTGACTGTACAGGTAACATTTTAAAGCCTGGTATACAGGTGTATGTGCTCAAATGGGCAGAGGAATTAAATCCAGGTGTCTCACATCTTTAGCTCACCCTAGCTGATGAAGTACTGAATAGGGGTGAGGAAATCACTGCCTTTTCCTTTGGGCTCTCATTTGTAAAGACAACTATTCTCACTCAGATCCCTGTTCAGGAAAAGCACTTGTCTCCCACATGCTGAGTGAGTGCTACTGATCAGTGGGTAACGAAGATATGAACAGGATGCTGTTAAGTCCCACTGCAGCGCACAGAGAAACACCTGAGCAGACAATCTGGTATTGAAAATACAACTGCCAGCTGCTGTTTCTGCTGAGTAACAATATCATGTTTCCACAATGGAAGGGGGTTTGGAAAACAAACAAACAAACAAACAAAAGGAGGAAACTACATGAATTGGCAAATGCGCTTCCTTTCTCTAGAGCACCTTTAATCAGCTGCATCATCAAGGAAGATTGACTCAAACTGGAAACTCATGGAACACGTTTTTCTTCTAAGATCTCCCCAGCAACCTTCTCAGCTGTCCCAGAATGTGTGTTAACTGGAAAACTCCTATTCCTTTCCTCCATCTATGCTGGATGTTAAGACATCCATCTATGTCTTAACAAATTTCATTCTAACATCGTCCACTAGGTTCCCATTTCCATGTTTTACCATCTGGATCTCATCTTTACAAATACAAGTTACATTCACCCACTTGGCTCACTTCATCTGTAGAGACTTGTTAAATGGCTTTAAAGATGATTTACTAAAAAAGCTAGAGGTAGAGATTTAACATGAGAAGAGATTAAGTAGAGAACTTCTTTAACGACAAAATTACTTTACCAATGACTTCTGGCTTCCCACATTGATCAGCTGATTTCTGCCTGATTCACATTTGTTCTCTGGCTCTATATGTTTGTACTAGCATATTAATTACTCAGAAGGCACTCGAGTTCACAGCAATAATCTAGTCACAAATTTCAAACATCTGAAATACAAATGTGTAACGTCAGAGAATTATAAAGAAAAAAGACTTGAAACACTAGTGCTTTGTTTCTGAAGCAGCATGGAACATACTAACTGAGCCCAAGAGAGTTAAAGTTTAAATTAAACTAGTTTTATTTTGCTTACTGAATTGTGTTTTTCATCAAAACAGTACAAAGCTCCAACAAAGTAACATCAATCTGAAAAGACTTACTTACTCAGATATTTCAGTTATATATTTAAATGGCATTAAAAGTTTGTATTTAAATGCCAAACTATTTTCTAAGTTTGAAAGATAAAAAAAGAAACACAACCTTGAAAGAGTGACAGTAGAACATAAACAGCATTCCAACTAATTGCTCCTGCCACCTCTGGGTCAGTAGAGTACAGAGCTGCCTTCTTTCTAATTTATGTTCTCTCATCTTCCGTAGCTCAAATGATACAGATCAACGCTTGGCACTAAAATTTGGCAATTTATTCCTCAAAATGATGTACAAGACTGTTTCTTTAAACATGTTTTTCTCCTTCAATCTGTAAAAGAGAAATTGGAGAAATCCCATGTCCAAGGGAAAAAAAAAAAGAGACATAGCCCTGAGTTTGCTTCTCCTAAGAGTACGTGGCATCCATGTCCTTATAGTGTTCACATATGTGAATACCCCTGCAGATATCAGGAGTGAAAGATTAAGGATGAAAGAAAATCAATTCTCTTCATCTAAATCCAGATACAACTGCTAAGACACACATCAGTTTAGGGTTCTGTAGGCTCTGGCACTTGCTACCACAACTCTTGTCCCAACAACATGCAACCTGTTTGCCAAAAGGAACTCTTTTTGATCCTCAAAGATTCTACAAAGTACTTCAAATTCCACCCAGCAATCAACAGGCAGATCCTGGAGCTGTTGTGCTATAAGCATTGCTGAGATGCTCTTTTGGCAAATGAACACCTGCCCCTCCATTACCAATCTGAAAATTAGTATTTTTAAGTGTAGTAAAAAGCGGCCAAGTCAAAAAAAGGGCCAGTCAGTCAAAAACCTATCTGCATTCCTTCTGAAACATGATGTTAAACAGCTCAGCTCATTTTGACCATTAAAGCTTTTATTTGACTAGAGATCTAACAGCAGGCCCACTGTCTTCAAGGACTAATATTGGCTCTGGCTGCTTCTCAATACCAACCATCAGTCCAACTTTTTCTGGGCTAAACTTCAATCTGTTTGTCCAACCTGAGCTAGGCACCAGCTGTGACACAGAGCCATACCATCCCCAGCAAATGGGCTGGGTAAGTGATGCTGTCCTCGCTAGCTACCTGCGGACTGAAGGAGAACTCTGTTGAGAAGTTCTCTAAACGTCCCAAAAGTGACCTCGAAACTCTGAGACCTGGGATCCCTTTACAGCATATGCTCAATGCATTTCTGATCCTGTGCATCTCCTGATTAGTTGGCATTTCACTCCTAAGGTGAGGAAGACAGAAGAAAACAGATGCAAACTGGGAACTTAACTGTTTTCTAAGAGTATCATGAAACACAGAGTTTTGTAGTTGCCCACATAAAGGAGCCTACACCAAGGGAACAAAACCAGACTCTGCATCCACTGTATTTGCAATTATTGAGACTGCAAAAACAATCAAAAGAATTGGGTTTGGCTTGGTAATAACTTCTATTCCCTCCATGATCTTATTTCAACTGTTTTGCACTATTCTCTGACCTTCTTAAAAGCCACCTTGCCAGGAGCTCACCACTTTCCCATCTGAATGCGCTTGTCACCAAAATGCATTACCACCTTTGCGTTAGTGGTTCAAATAAACCTCCTGACAGGAACTGCAGGAAGAGCAGAAAATGGTGCAAAACTCAAAATGATGTATTATTGCTAAAATGCTACAACTTCACTTGTCAAGGATTGTAATTAGAGTTGGGCCAAGGCAATGTTAGCTCAGCTGCCTCTGAACACACCTGTTTCAATTTAATTTGTAGTAATTAGGAAGCCTAGGGCACCAGGAAAAAATGCTGTTCAGTTACTGTTTCAAATAGCTGAGCTTTCATGTGCCATTTAAAATCCTGTTTTTCAGAACAGACTGCTGACTTGCTAATGCTAGCAAAATGAAATAAAGCAAAATATTTTTAGCAGCAGGAAGTTGTTACTTGCTACTGCCAATTACATGCCTTGTACTTGAACAGTGACATTTTTTCCCCTTTGCTTATTCTTCAAGATAGGTAAAAGCTGGCTTAGGCCTCCGTGCACGAGGATTCGAACAAAACTCAGTTGCCTGGAGCCAGCCGACACTTCGGGAGTCATAGCCAATATTGGCAGCAATCTGCTGTGACAGAGAAAACAACAGTGTCCTAGATCCACTCTTCAGCAAGGGGGAAGGAGAAGATTAAGCAAGAGACTTGGATCTATTGACTTTGGCAAAAGGCTGAATACCTTGTCATGCTAATAAAATTACTGAATTTGGGAAGGAGAAAGTGGGGAAGAGAGGGGAAAATAAAAAAAAAGCATTAAAATTACATAAGAATAGATATTTATACTCTGAGTTAATTTATCAAACTGACACAGAGATGAATCATCCATTATTAAAATAACGGGATACAAGTTTTCTTTATATCACAATCATTATTTACAACTCTTAAATATTCACAGAGGAGTCAAGTCTTTTAATTTAAAATGTGATCTTACAGGCCAAAATAAAACTGTTGGCAAAAATAAGTTTCTACAGGAACAGTGCCCAAAGAATGATTTCTTCAAAAACAGAATAATTCCTAACAAGCATGGTGGCACTTTTTTTTTTTTTTTTAAAAAAAACCCCTACACTATAAACCACAGAGGGCTCACGCAACTCACATAAAGCTAGATCTCCGAGAAACAAAACAATGAGAATGGGTAATAACAAAAGCCTGTGGTGTAGCTAGACACAGGTACTTAATGGCTTCTAAAAATGTAGCACAAACCTCAGTTATTTTTTTGAGGTGACATACAACTCTGCTTTGATGCAGATTCATTCCCACTTGCCGAGAATCCACCCAAAGCCAATATGGTTCCTCAGGGAACTAACTTGAATACACACGTGTACTTCTACAAGTAAAAGTCCATCATTTTAATAATTTGCCTTTTTCTATTGTAATTGTCATTAGAAAGAGCACCATAACACACACAAAAACTCCTCATACCTATCTGGGAAATTCAGAGCTATGTTTCCTGAATACTCTTTTGATTATTTAGGAATGGTTTTAATACTACCAGTCATTATTTTCTTTAGATTGACATAGATGTTTATTTAAAAACTGGACAGAAAACAGAAAAAGAAATGTGTATGATAAAGCACCATACCACTGTATATTTTTCCATCTTAGAACACACACAAAAACTCCTCACACCTATCTGGGAAATTCAGAGCTATGTTTCCTGAATACTCTTTTGATTATTTAGGAATGGTTTTAATACTACCAGTCATTATTTTCTTCAGATTGACATAGATGTTTATTTAAAAACTGGACAGAAAACAGAAAAAGAAATGTGTATGATAAAATGAGTGTTAAGAGCCAGCACCATCATTTTACCACTTAAGAGAACTTTATGAAATAAGTGTCTACCTGAGGCTGTGCTTATATAATGTATATGGGACACGCATACACATGCCACACATGATCTTAAAACCACAGAAATCAGAACATATATGAAAGCTGCAACTTCTTTTATTCCTTTGTGTTTGCTGCTTCAACAGGTAACTTCTCTACAATCCAGGTCTTTAGTTTCTCTATTTCAGTTCTGTTTAACTCATGATTTAGGTTTGGGAAAGTATGCAGTGATGCTGATACTCCCAGTGATTTTAACATCTTGTTGGTCTCTTCACCCCATGAGTAGAGAACTAGTTCATCAGCAGTTCCATGGCATTGAAATAATTCTGGAACAACACTTTCATTTCTTTTCAAAGCCTAGATGGAGAAGAAACATTGTCAGACACTTCACAAAAATTTTTAAAAGAGTAATTGCAATTACATTGTGACAATTTATACAGCATTTCATTTATTAACCTGTGTTTTAGCTGTCATATTGTACTATCTCTACAAAAGCAAACAAGGAAATACTGGGAAAGAACTGTCTATATCCCTCTCCAAATGAGCAAAATAGAAAAAATTCATGACAGCAGATGGAGCCCATGAGTACTAACAATTTGCCTCAAATTTTAAAAGAATTGTTACACTTACATGGACTCTCTGAAAACTGACAACAACTTACAAAGCATTTCGTTCATTAATGTGCCTTCTACACTGACTTTCTTTGAGTAAAATAATTGTACCATCCGTGCAACAAAGCAACAAAACATCACATAAGGACAGCTTTAAAGCCTCACTTCCCTAATACTCCACTTATCTATTTCCAGGAAATGTCATAAGTTAAAAACATTAATTAATTTGTTAATTAATTGCCTCAGATCAATAAAACATGCTATACTCAGTTTTAATTACCACATTTTTCTTTTAGCTAAGCAGTCTTTCCGTAACGTCTACCACACACTCACCTGGTAAACAGCAGAGTCTCTGTTGAGAAAGCTAGACAAAGCAAAGACTCCTGCCAGATCTTGATGAAACCTATATGCTACATGCATTGCCATTCCACCTCCCATCGAAAAGCCTCCTAGATGCAACAAAAGAAACAAAGATTGAGTTTTGCTTTCTAACCCAGCATCCAATTTATATTTATCTTCAGACTTGTTTCTTTCATACACAATGCAATCAAAAAACATCTTAAGTTTCATAAATGTTATGATAATCTTAAATGAAAGCACAATTCAGTTAAGAAGATGGATAGCAAAAGTACTGCTGAAGGTTCATTACTGACAGAGAAAAATAAAAAAAATCAGCAAAAATGTCATTACTTTAGAAACCATTTGTGTGTGATCCCTACTAGATAGCTGAACACTGTGGCCATGTATTTTCTGATGTTAACAAAGCAAAACTTTACGAACAGAAAATACTCACTGTTTTTTTATTCAAGTTATTTTTCCCCTAGGCTAGTACCATTCACACATGAAAGAACTGTATCACTATTGTACACAACCAATGAACATTCACTGCATGAGACTAGTACACAGAGGTTGTAGGTTCTTTTTTGTTACACCTTAAGATATGTAATAAATAAACTTGGCAAAATTTCCAGGTACCCCACATGAGCTCTAACAGGATCTCTAAAAAAATGGCTTTCTGTGTTCCATGTCTCCCTAGCTGCACTAATTCCTTACATCATATAATATGTCAGGGATGATTTTTACATGACAAATGCTTACTTATTAGGAAAGAAAACCAGACTACCGCATTAATTCACATGGACACGGTGCATAGGCTGTATCCAGGTAATGACTAGGGTGAAGAGCGACTGGCTGCTGAATTGTCTTCTAGCAGAGAAATGGCAACGGGCAGAAAGGTTATGACTGCAGCTCTACTTAGAGGGGCATGAGCATCCAGGATACTGGTGATAAAACTGGTTGGTGCCAGGTAGTTAACAGGTATTAATTAGTTGCAAAATTCTAAGACCAGACCTTTTCACACTAGAGACATGAAATTAGGGATTGAAGAAGACATGAGAAAACAGCAGACAAAATACCAAACCATTTCATCTGGTTATCTTTTAGAAGCGGTTAAAATGAGACTCCAGAATAGGAATGCCTCTTTTACACGAGCTACCTAAGTCCTCTGAGGTTGACTTCTGGGCTATGCAGAAGCTGGACAGAGGTGCTAAACAAAACCCAGCGAGGAAGCAGTGCCCCTGCCGCACCGAAACTGAGCCCAACAACACCCTGCAACTTTGGTACTTCCCTCGATGCTGGGACCACACAGGAAATCTCTGGCACACACAAGGTCTGAGGCAGAAAACGTTGCGTTTTTTAAACATCAGTTGGGTCATGGTGAGACTGTTCCTAATGGGGAATCCTCTTCCAGCACGTTTATCTGCAAGTCCCAGCAGGTCTGAGGCCCTTCTAGCTCACACTCCATCCCATGTTATGACTGGGAGATTTGGCTGGATTTGTGTATGAAATTTTTGCTGAAAACACTAGACTAATCCAAACACAAAAGGTTTTCTTTCTCCTGTACAATACTAATTTTTGATTTCTGATATATTTCTGATCTGAATTTCTCCTGAATTTCTGATTCTTCTTTCTACTGTCACCTTGTAGTCTTAAGATGCAATTACGGCCAAAAGCAGTAACTACAAGTTCCTGACTTACAGGACTTTGATCTTAGGGAGAAAGAGCAAGACCACACAATGTGGAAGCCTGGAAACTCGCTTTCCTTTTTCAAACACAGTCCTTAAATGAATTAGGAGACCTGTATCCTCACACTAGAAGATATACCTGGGATCCCATAGCTATGCATTCAGGGGACTGATAACACCCTGATACTTATCTCTGGTAAATAATGCCAGGACCCACTATTTACCCTACAAATCAGTCTTTGACCAGTTCAAACTTAAATGCAGTATGCCTAAGTGCCCAGTAGCAGTTCAGAAACAAAGGTATCTGGGGAAAAGTAGGAATGAATGTGAGTAAACAAGTTCAGAGCACACCTTAAAAACCTCACATCACCTGCAATTTTGAATAAACTTGTTTTACAAAAAAATATTGAAAATATTACTACAAGCCTTGGATCTGCATCATTATTTCCCACCAGACGTGTTCTCTTGCCACGTCTAAAAGAATTGTACAATGAAAGAAATATATATATTGCACAAGTGTCATAACAATTACAAAAATGTATCACCATTGACCCCATGTTCACAGAGAAAAAATACAGCCTTCTGAGAAAGTATATAAAATACAAGAGCTATGCAAAGTTATTATGTAAAACCAAAAAGATCTTGTGCTGAAGTTTCCTTTATTCTCTTCTGTGGAATCTGACCATTTACAACTTCGTTTCTTTTTGATCATTCTGAACGATGCTGTCATCCCCAAATCCAAAAGGTAGGACATACTCTGAGGGTTCATTTTTCATTTGTTTACAAATAAATACAGATATACTTTGTCGACAGATAAAATTAAGCCCATTTTAAGTATTTTAGAACACAGGAGAAAAAGCTGCATTGAAAACTCATTACTAGTTTGTAAATGATTTAATCTAAAATTGTGTACCCAGTTAGTCACAATCTGGCAACGCTGTCTGCAATTACTCACCAGCAGTCTTTGACAATGCAGTCACCTTCTGTTTAGAAGAATATTAGGTAATGGTTCTTTTATGTGGCTCATACTACTATGAGAAAATGTAATACAAAGGACTAGTTCTTTGAATTTGGTTTTCCAGGGGAAAACCTTATCACTTGATACCACAACAATCTCTGAGTAAATGTCATACAGTAAATGCTTCAGAAACAACAATTCAAATAACCATTTGCAGCTGGAGTCAAATGTTTCTGATGAAAGTATTTCAATGTAAGTGTAAATTTGACATAACACATAAAAGACCCGTTCAGCCAAGAACTTTTATAAGACTTCAAATTTTGGATTAAATAAAAATAAGAGTGGGGTACAGACATCACAGGAAACAAACGTTATTAAGTGACAGTAAGAATGGAAGGAGAAGGTAAAAGAAAAGTAAAAGCATGCTTATGCATACCATGATCTCAGCATAAAGAATATATAAACCTTACAGCATTGCTGAGCTGACCGTGTTATCAGTGCTAATCAAGATCAAAAATAACACAGCAACATTTGAACCTAAGAACACAGCAAGCTCTTCGCCTGAGACCAATCTACTTTGAAGAAGTACAAAGGATGTGCACAGAAGTTCAGAATGCATTAGCACGTTTCATATAAAAAGTAAGTTCATTTTCCATTTACCCCCTTGTACCTATTTTTAAAGAGATCTTTGATTAACGGTTCAAAGTAGTTAGAAAGTGTTGGCTCTGCAATGCTCCTGATACCAGTTCAGGAAAGCATCTAACTATTTACATGAATTTTCTGCCTTACAAAGGAGGTTTATGCACGTATACAACGGACTCAGTTAAGTAAAGCACTTCTTCAATTGCAAAGAAATTTCACTCAAGTACATATTTATGGCCTCAAATCTGCTGCTGTGTAGTGCTGGTTTCTAGGCAATATTCCTCTGCAGTGAGAAGAAAGCTACTTGTAACTTGCTTTGCTAGTTCAGAAAGATCTCCTTAAATCACAGGATCATCACACTTTCAAATTAAAGAATTTGAATCAGAAGGAAACTCCTATGCAATACTTTCCTGAAAAACAAAACTTTCTTTGCTGGAACATAATCCATAACTATGTTAAAGTAACTCCAGCCATACGATGGTGTTAACACAAAGTGAACAGAGACTGAATTTCTCATGTGTAATTTATTCCTGCTTGAATAAAATAAAAATCCTCATCACAGCTGCCATTTTTCAGTGATAAAACCTTCATTCCAGAGCTTGTAAATGGCCTTGGGAGACTTTTAAACATCAAAGTGTTTGTAAAAAACCTTGAGCTCACTTCTGCTAGAGAGCTTGATTTGTATTAATTTGCTCCTCATTTATATGTCTGAAGTGATAATCTTGTCCATGATGAGTTCAGGAAACCAAATATTTACCTACTGTCAAACTACAGCTTTATTCATTCCTTTGTATTTGGTCTAACATCGTTTGAGTTTGCATCTCAGAAAATGACTAACTTTACTACCTAGCACAAACGTTTCCTTATCTAGTCTCTCTCTCCTGTGTGCTGTATACAAGAGAATGCTAAAAACTTTGCCTTGTCCCCTGTGCTGCAATGATCTCTTCCGGAGTTCAGAAAGCTCTTTAGGTTTTCATTCTTCTTTGCAGAAAAAACACATTTCTAAGAAACACAGGCTGAACATTGCCAATTTCTTCCCGAGTCCTATACATCTGACTGTAAAATGCTTTAGTCAATTTGTTATAGATAATGACTATGGGCTGAAGAAACAAGAGATCACTTTTTCGGTCTTTACAGGATAATTTTAAAACATGATAAAAACTGTTTCCCACACTAGAAAGCACAGCCATAGGAAACAAATTTTAGCTATTCAAGACATTTAGTGCGTTAATTCTGCCATCTGCACTGAGTACAGGTGTCCTGCTCCTTGCAGAGATAGACTTGGAGTTCTTCTTGCATGAAGTTGAGCAGCAGAGGTAGAAACCGCTTCATTACAGCACCGAACCAAAAGTGAAAGAGGAGAAGACTTTGACGAGATAAGATTTGGACCTGGGCGTAGAGGTGGGTTTTGGAGTGTTTATTTGTCGTGGGTTAGGGCTGGGCTGGCCTCTAACACGGACAGACGCTCTCTAACCTCCTCTTCCCCCCCCAAATGGGAAGGAAAAGGGAATGAAGCAGAGAGACTTTCGGGTTAGAGAAGAAAAAAAACTACTACAGCTTTAATGAAACAATAATAATAGAAAATAATAGTGGAATGATAGAAGTAAAGAACTATATACAACTATAGATAATAGCCCGATATCAAACCCGACTCCCTCCCCCGATACCAATCACCACTGATGCTGCAGAGCAGGAGGCACTGGGAAAAACCTAGGCTCAGCGGCGGCGGCGGGGAGATGGATACAGGGAGCTGGATTCAGGAACTCAGGATCCGGATCAAAAGCAGGAGATCGGACAGAGTCCTCTCTGGACGCCGGCCATTGCA